CGTTGTCCGAGAGGCTCTAGACCCATAGTACGACCATAAATGGGATCGAATAGGTGTAAAACACTAAAACAACTATTATAGAAGGTGTTTAAAGTTGGGTTAAAATTGATGAAATAGTTGTAGGGTATCGATACCAAGGGTATGATTTGAGCTTTAAAGAACGAGCATGTGTAAAGGCAAGCAAGGATATCGAAGTTGAAAGGCCAGTATCGATACCAAGGTTGAGAAATGGGCTTTAAGTCAATAGAAAGTATAAAGGTAAGTGAGTTTTCTGAAAAGCTTATAATTTCTCTCAAATAAGACTACAAGTGAGAACATTCATTAAAGTAATCCAAACGTAGAAACGAGAATAACGTATGATCAAATAAGACTAGCCTTGTTTGAATATTTGGGAAACAACCAAGACACCCGAGTTCTTTTAGAAAAGATAGCAGAGTCGAAAGTATAGATTCAGTCTGGATATCCCTAGGGAGTGCACAAGGCACTTTAAGCTGACTAGTTTGGGCGCAAGGTGTGACACTCAAGAAGTGGGCTAGTCGAGAGTGTGGTGTCCAATGCAGAGATTCTGGGGGCTACATTCTCGGTAGACTAGAGATATATGTGAGCTCCGAGATGCAGAACTCTTATTCGATGTCTACCATAGAATAGAGAATGAGTATACGAGTATACTCACTAAAGCATAACAGAACAGACCAGTAGACTAGATATCAGTAAACTTGATAGCTTGAGCTTTTCAGTGAGAAACCTTTAGTATGTTTAGTTGTTAGTGTGGCGATTAGCTAATTAGCTCAGTATTCAGATGTTTCCGTGGGCAGATTAGTAGATCTAGCATTTGAGAAGCTTTAAAGAGACTGAGGTCCAGATCCATTGTAGAGTAGAGTACGTCACAAGTTTCTTAAATGTTTCTATATTCATAAATCCAGTTGTAATGAGTTTAGTCAGTATGTAGGTATCTATATATTTTAAGGGCTTTTACATGTAAAGAGTCATTTTAAAGTATAACAAAGTAATAATACGTTGGTTAGTCACTTAGGTGGTTCCGTGTAGCACTTTAAATCGACCGACTATGTGATGAACTGGTTTAGGGTGTTACGTTTAGTGGTATCAGAGCGTCAAAATTGACGTTCCTAGGACCCGCATGTCAGTGGTGGTCAATGTCGGTCAGAATCACTCAGTGTCAATAAGGAGTTTATGAGAATACATGCCCTACATAGTTATGTCTTACTTTTGCATTTGCAATAGTAGATAGGTCAGGCCATAGTAGATGTGAGTTTAAAGTGTAAGTTCGATAGCTTAAGCTTAGAAAGAAAGATACGAGTAAGATATTGATGTTCAGTGAAAAGCCCAAGGGTTTAAAGTTTATATCGACCATTAGGGCACATAAGGTTTTCTCTAGTGAAGGTTTCGTGGAGAAACCATAAGGTCAAAAACAGTTGGTTAGCATAGATGAGTATTAGATTATAGTTGCGTAGCAAAAGCATAAGAGTTGATTTTAGTATAAGTTTTAGCAAATGCCATCAGGTCTTAGAGTTTTCTTTTCCCAGTAGATAAAAAGGTTAGTAAAGAAAGTTTTGACGCTAGCAGTGAGTTGTGGAGTGTCATAAGGATTCTTCTATCCGTTATGATCTAGTTCAGGGGAGAGAGTTTCAGTCGATACTTTTAAGATAGGGGTTCGAGTGTTTATCCATCAGAGTTAGATGTTCTAGTGGTCAAGACCTGTCATAGATGCCTAATAGAGTTTCAGAGTAAAACCTTTCTCTTGGGAAATTTTGAGGATGAAATTTCTTGTAGGGGAGAGTTGTAATACCCAAAACCCGGGTTAGTAGTTTAGGTTAACCTGAGATCTTTAAGTCAAGTCAATTAGACCTCCCAATATAGTTTAAATGTGAGTTAATAGGTGAATAACCTAAAGAGTAGTTTACCCATTTTATTGATCCTGAAAACTTTCCCCCTCTTTTTATATCATTTCACGTAACCAAACTCCCCATAATATCTCACCCATTCTTCTTATTCTTCCTTATGTTTGTTTCCATTTCTTATTTCTTTCAAGAGCCAAGTTTCAAGTATTCCAATCTTAGGTTTGTTTAGCCAAGGTAAGGATGTTTCTCTTCATCCTTCAAGCTTTGTTTCAAGCTCCATTTTGTGAGTTTTAGAATTTGTTTTCAAAATGGTTTTTTGGGCTATTGAAAGGAACCTAGAGATTTAAGCTTGTTTTGAGTAATATTAAGCAGTATAGAATATTTTAACTTAGTCTCCAAGTCAAAGACAAGTTAGTAACCCCTAGTTTTGTTTTGATTAGCCAATGAGGTGGGTGAAGTTATAAAGCAAATGATAAAGGTAAGATGACTCATAGTTGAGTTGAGGGAGATTTTAGCAACCAATGAGGCCATGTAACACAATATCAACTCCTCCATACTCTTAGTGATCATTAAAAATGAGTTTTAGCTTGAGAGTAAGTTATGAAGCTTAGTGTTATATGTTAATGGTAGATTACATGGTTTATGTTATAAGCATGGTATAAAGCCTTATTTATGCTCCTTGTAATCAGATATTTAAAGAATGTTTGGGGACCTCACTAGGGTGTTTGGGATTGAAATAGAGCATTTTTGTATGTGTTTAGTACCGATATTTGTTCTTTGTTTTGGGAAAATTCATGAGTTTCTGGGCAAGAGTATCGATACTCTTTCAAAAGTATCAAAACTTTTGGTCATAATTTCAAAACTTTTACAGGAGTATCGATACTTCCAATCTGCTTTGGCCAAAACGTTGCCCAAGAGGTCCTAGACCCATAGTATGACCATAAATGAGATCGAATAGGTGTAAAACACTAGAATAAGTGCTATAGAAGGTGTCTAAAGTTGGGTTAAAATGGATGAAATAGTAGTAGGGGTATCGATACCTTAGGTAGGGTATCGATACTACACAAAGGGTATTGATACTGTAAGGTCGGTATCTATATATTTTGAGGGTTCTCAGATGTAAAGAGTCGTTTTAAAGTACAAGAAAGAAAGAATAAGTTGGTTAGCCACTTCGGTGGTTCCGTGTAGCACCTTAAATTGGTCGACTGTGTGTCGTACTGGGCTAAGGTGTTACATGTAGCATATAAGTGACAGAGACGGACATATAATTTTAAGGGAAAGAAAATAGATTATCAATATATATATATATATATATATATATATATATATTAATATTAATCGATTGTCAAAAGTTTACCATTGATGGGGTCATCCATGCAATCGAAGAGGCCAGTTTTCCAGCCCTCAACAGGCTGTGGAATCGCAGATGCAACGTACGGTGCCATATATACATACTGTTTTATTTAAAACCAACAATGTATAATTATTCCCTTTGGAAGATGTTCTGTTTTGGTTAAAAAAACATTATGGGCATTGCATGAAATTTTTAAACTTGCGAAGAGATACAATCCATGCGCTTAAAATCGAAACCGATAATTTTAAGGTGGTCAAAATTACTAGTAAATCATCAATTTCACTAAAAATCATGTATTTATGAAAATAAATTTAGACAGATTCTGAAATTATTAAGAGATACATATTCGATTGATCAAAAGAGAACAAAATATCATTGCAGACATTTTAAATAAGATAAGGTTGTTACTATATTAATTATTTAATGAAATAAAAGTTCAGATCTGATGTAATTTACTCTTATAATTATAATATCAAACGTCTTTAATTATTATCTATCAGAGAGAAGTACTCTAAGAGCCTTTACATTGGGTTTTAGATATTTTGTTTCAGATTCGGCATGGTGAAGTCTCAAAGTAATCTTCTCGTTAATATTGTTTTTATAGCACAAATCAACTTACCTTAGTGATTAAAAGAATTATTGTTATTTCTAAAGATTATGATCGAGCCCCAAGTCTGTAACTGAATTATTGAACGTTTATTATTAAATGATTAAGAGTACTTAGAACAAATACTACTTTGTAACCACCTTAGTTTAATTAAAAAAATATCTTCTTTGATAACCACCTTGAGTGTCTGATCCTGGCCCGATCAAAACTCCTCCATCCATTTATGTTAAATTTATTATAATTAAAAAAAACTGGATAAATATATATCATGATAACACAAAACCTTTTTCAATTATGTACTTCAATTTGTTTTTTTTATTGAAACTGAGACCCAAAATTTGTTTATTATTTAAATTAATTAAAAATCGTTAATATTAATTTATACTCAAAAATTTATTGCTTGGATAGAAATCTGTTTCTCTCAAGCTAGGTACTCTATTGCTTTTAATGGTACCTTAATAGGCTATTTCAAAGGGGCCAGAGGTTTAAGACAAGGGGATCCTCTTTCCCCTTATCTTTTCGTTCTTGCAATGAATGTCCTCTCTAAAATGCTCAATATAGATGCATCCAAAGGAGTCTTTGCCTTTCACCCAAAATGCAAGAAAATTGGTTTAACTCATCTCTCATTTGCAGATGATTTACTGATTTTCTGCAAATGAAATAAGGACTCAGTAGATGGAGTCTTGAGTGTTCTCCATCAGTTTTATCAAGTTTCTGGACTTCATTTAAACCCCTCCAAATGTGAGATCTTCTCTGCGGGTATCTCTCCTAGGGAAATCGAGAACCTGAAAATTATCTCTGGATTTAAAACAGGTTACCAGACTGTTAGGTACCTAGGAATACCTCTTGTTACTCGAAAACTTTCTCTGAAGGACTGTGAACCACTCCTTGAAAAAATAGGCAAAGGCTACACCACTGGTCTACAAGAAATTTAAGCTATGCTGTCAGACTCGAGCTAATCAGATCGGTTCTTTTTAGTGTCAGTAATATCTGGTGTAAACACTTAATTCTCCCAGCTACTGTTTTAAAATCAGTGGACCAATTATGCTCAAGGTTCTTTTGGAAAGGAGCGAACAAATCGGCTGCTAAAGCAAGAGTTAGTTGGGACCAAATCTGTCTTTTAAAATCTGAAGGAGGCTTAGGACTAAAAAAAATTACCACTTGGAACAAAGCTTGCATTATGAGCCTTATTAGAAAGATCCTTGCTGGAAATGGTTCGCTCTGGGTTGCTTGGCTAAATAGCTGCGTTTTCAAGGACCATAACTTCTGGTAGTTTGAGATTGGGTCTAATATCAACTAGAATATTAGAAGAATTCTCAAACTGAGAAATTCTGCATTCCCTCTTTATTCTTCTGGTATTCTGCAGGCGAAGGAAATTTGGGGGAAAATCCGATTGCAAGGTCAGAAAGTGTACTGGCACCGTCTAGTGTGGTATCCTATGCACCTTCCAAAGCATAGTTTGATTACTTGGATGGACATCTTAAACAAGTTACCAACTTGTGATCGCTTGCAACGCATGGGATTAGTCACTGCTGGACTGTGCGTTAACTGCAGGGCTTCTAACGAAAGCAGGGATCATTTGTTTTCTCAAAGCCCCTTGGCTATTGAACTCTGGAAATCTGTACTCCAATTGAATGGTATGAACTACACTGCAATGACTTTGGAAGAAATTGTCTCTCGTGCAAGCTCTATGTGGAAAGGGAAATCTCTAATCACCACTATATTGAAAATTTCATGGAATGCTTATATCTACTTTTTGTAGCAAGAACGTAATCGTAGACTATTTCAAGGAAGATCTCGAACTGTTGACAACTTGCTCAAGGAAATCATTGAAATAGTTAGTATAAGGCTTAAAGGAAAAACTATAAATAGACTTGATTGCACTAACTTCCATCTTTGTAATGCTTGGAGTATAGTCTAACCAATCTTTTATTCTTTTGTATGTTTGTAATGCTCCTTTGTCTTGATTGATGATTGGTTGTAATTTACATTGCTCTTGGATAATAAAATTATGATTTATCCAAAAAAAAAATTTGATGAATCAATTTTATCGTTGAAGCTAAAACCACATTAATTATTTATATTTTATACTTGAACATGTATTTTCAAAGTGTCTCTTTACTTGATAACTGAAATAGAGTGCAAAAAAACACAACTGTTTTAAAGCGAATAAATAAGATTTTACATATTAATATTAATATTTTTTTAAATACAACATAAATTTTTCATGTACTTAAATATTTAATTTGCGTTTGAATTTAAACTTTAATGGAGATAAGTTTAAAACGAGTTAAACTTCAATTTTTTATTTAAAGTTAGATAATTTTAAACTCGTAAACTTTCAAGTCAAATTAAACTTAACTTTTAATTTTTTGATTCAAATAAAACTAAATAATATTCGAACTCACTGTTGTCACTTGTCGAAGATGTTTTATCCCTTTATCCGATTTGGTTACCAATCAATGGAGGAGAGATAAATCCAGAATTGGGCTTAGCCCTTAAGGATTAAGCAACGTGACTACGTTCCCACGTATCTTTCTGCGAAGAGGAAGCAAAGCAAAGCATAGTTAGGTTGAAATCTCCTCCGTCTCGGGCTCTCATCTACTTGCTTTTAAAGACTGCCAACAACCCGCCATCCCCAACCTTAATAAAACCCCACAACCCCCCCCCCCCACTGCTCCTTCCCTCAAACATGGCTTCTTCTTCTTCCTCCATCCGTTTCTTTCTCCTCTTCTCTTTCCTCTTCACTCCCACTCTCGCTCGTTTCTCTCCGGAGTTCACCACGGCCAGCCTCGATGTCTCTTCTTCCCTTCAACAAGCTCACCATATTCTTTCTTTTGATCCCCAATCTGTAGAGGCCTTCTATCAGGCCCAACACCAACCCCTTTTCTTCAACTCTTCTTCTTATTCTGTTTTCTCTGTTCCACTTCACTCTCGGGGTTCCGTACACAAAACCCATCACACCGACTACAAAAACCTTGTCCTATCACGACTCGAGCGTGACTCCGCCAGAGTCGACTCGATCACTACTAAACTCCTCTTCGCGCTTAACGGGGTCAAGAGATATGAGTTGAAGCCGGTGCCGACCGAGATCCAAGCTGAGGCGCTTTCTACCCCGATTATTTCGGGGACCAATCAAGGAAGTGGAGAGTATTTCACCCGGCTCGGAGTCGGTAACCCGGCGAAGCAATACTACATGGTTCTCGATACCGGGAGTGATATTAATTGGATCCAATGTGAACCTTGTTCTGACTGTTACCAACAATCCGACCCGATTTTCAACCCATCCGGATCCTCTACTTACAGTCCGGTTACTTGCGGGTCGAGGCAGTGTACTTCTCTCGAAGTTTCCGCTTGTCGTAGCGGGAAATGCATGTACCAAGTCTCGTACGGGGATGGGTCTTATACTGTCGGCGAGTTCGCCACCGATACGGTGTCGTTTGGAAAATCCGGGAGCATCAAAGGCGTCGCTTTGGGTTGTGGCCATGATAACGAAGGCTTGTTTGTCGGAGCGGCGGGGTTGATTGGACTCGGAGGTGGCTCATTGTCTTTAACTTCGCAGATCAAAGCGACATCGTTTTCTTACTGTTTAGTAGATCGTGATTCGAGCGGTTCGTCGACTTTGGATTTCAACTCGGGCTTACCGGCCGACTCGGTGGTCGCTCCATTGATGAAGAGCGGGAAGATCAATACTTTTTATTACATCGGTCTGACCGGGTTCAGCGTAGGTGGACAACCTGTTAAACTCGCACCGGGTCTCTTCGATATGGACAAATCGGGTGAGGGAGGCGTCATCATCGACTGCGGGACCGCCATAACTCGGCTGCAAACTCAGGCTTACAACGCGCTCCGAGATGCGTTCGTGAAACTGACGAAGGGCTTGCCGACCACGAGCGGGGTGGCGTTGTTCGACACGTGTTACGACCTTTCTAAGAGAAGCAGCGTGAAGGTGCCGACGGTGTCGTTTCATTTCGGCGGTGGGAAATCGATGGATTTACCTGCAAAGAACTACCTAATCCCGGTGGACTCTTCGGGGACGTTTTGCTTCGCGTTTGCTCCTACGTCGTCGTCTATGTCTATTATTGGGAATGTGCAACAACAAGGGACACGTGTCAGCTTCGATTTGGCTAACAATAAGATTGGATTCTCTTCTCATAAATGTTGACACAGTAATTAGTTTATAATTACCCTCTCCTGCCCTTTTAACCTTTGGTAAAAAAAAGGTTTAACTAGTTACTTTATAAGATTTCTACTTTTAAGTGTAATATTGTATCAGTACTTTTTCTAGTTATGGAAAATTGAATGCGGGGGAAGGTTAAAAAATGTTCGGGTCCCACTCGAACACATTCCGGAACAAACATTAGGGTTGGATTACGTTAGAAATTAATTACTTTTAAATTCTGCTTGTTTTACTTTGATGTTTACATTTGAATATTGGGTAAACTATACCATTAGTAATGAATCTATTATCTGTTTCTATTTTAATAAATAATTAGTTACTAATTTATTATATTCTTATTTTGGTAAAATCATTGATTTTATATATGTTCTATTTAAACTGATGAGGCCTATCTTTGAGCAAGTGGCAGTGTTATGCTCCCTGCCTTTGGGTATTATCTGATGAGGAGCTCGTGTAAACCGCATCCATAACAAGCCCGAGAAACTCTATGACACTCCTTTTAGTGCCTTCTGCTGTAATGTCTACATTTTAGGGGTTGTATAGTCCTAGCTGAAACATTTGTGCTCGTCACAGAGGCTGAAGCTAGCGACATCTGACGGCCCTGTGATCTTTTCCTACGAACTGAATCCTTTCCCATAGGTGTTCGATAAAGATATGAGGACCTAGAAGTCAAGGTCCAAGTCTCGAACCCCCTATGCCTAGATGTGAACATAAACAAGGTTCACCATAAGTTTCCGATAAAGATATGAGGACAGACCTTCCCAGTCTATCTCATGTCACTCTGTTTAGGGAGTTTGGTGTAATCTTAAGAATATATTGGTTATACAAGCACGATGCAAGTTTCAGGTGTAAAGCTAGGCAACTCAAACTCCGAAAATCAGATGAGATCATATCGAGCAAGGAGCTCGGTTATATCTCAAATATTATTTCAACCTTCAAAGACTGCAAGTTGATAAGCACAGGTTGTGAGGCATACTTGGCTCATGTAGTGGACACTCGAGTCTTGATCCCATTACTTGAGGAGATTCGTGCCGTAAAGGAGTTTCTATATGTATTCCCGAAAGAGTTATCGGGATTACCACCCGATCGAAAGTTAGAATTTGGCATCGAGGTTATGTCAGGCTCATCTCTAGTGTCCATCGCCCCTTACTGTATGGTACCGACGAAATTGAAGAAACTTAAGACACAAATTCAAGAACTACTAGAGTGATGGTTTATTCGCCTAAGCATGTCACGGTGAAGAGCTTTGATTTTATACATAAAAAAAGAAAGACAGATCAATGAGGTTATTCATTGTCTATCGTCAATTGTGATATCTGTTTCAGAGTATTGACGACTTGTTTAACCAACTTAAGGGAGCAAAGGTGTTCTCTAAAACTTACTTAAGGTCGTGTTACTACCGGCAAAAGATTAAGGAATATGACATAACAAAGATTGCATTTAGGACTTGATGTGGTCACTATGAGTTTCTAATGATGCCTTTTGGTCTTACTAATGCCCTAGTCGTATTTATGGATTTGATGAATAGGATCTTCTATTGGTATTTATATCCGTTTATTGTAGTGTTCATCGACGACATCTTAGCTTACTTGCGTTCAGAGGAAAAGTATGACAATCATCTCTGTATCATGCTACAGACTTTAAGGGAGCGTCAGTTATTCGCCAAGTTTAGTAAGTACAAGTTTTGGTTATCAGAGGTATCGTTTTTTGGTCATGTGGTGGTAGCCAAGGGCATCCGAGTTAACCCTAAAAATTTTGAGCCGTGGTTGAGTAGGAACCACTACTGAATATATCTGAGGTATGTAGTTTCCTAGGTCAAGGAATTGAGAAGCAAGTGAATTTTGTTAGTGAAGGTCTTGTGGAGAAATCATAGTGTTAAGGAAGCGACTTGGGAGACATAGGAAAACATACAACTATAGTATCCATATTTATTATACTCAAGTAAATTTCGAGGATGAAATTTCTTCTTAGGATAGGAGAGTTGTAACACCCTGATTTATATGTTAGTAGTTTTGAGCTAACTTGGTAGGACCTTAGATAAACCCAACGGCTTGGTAGTAAGCCTTAGGTCTGATATAAATTGGTTTAGGTTAGAGTTGAGCCCAAAAAGTATGAAAAGAGGGATTTTTTCATTTAGGCCAATTTTGGAAAGACTAAAGTTGCAGTTAGCCAATAAAAAAATAAACAAAGTTGATTATGTTAAATGGGATTATGCCATTCACGTTGGTATCACCCCTCCACCTTTGTCTTCTTTATCTCTTTCAAAAAACTCATATTCTTCTCTTCACAAGGTCAACCAAAGGTCATATATTTGTACGAAAAGACTTTCTTGCTGAATCAAAGAATGCAAGTTAGGTAATCCCCTCTTTTAAAGTTTTGTTTCAAGCCCTTCATATCCATAAATGGTTGTGGTAACCACAGAGGAAGTTTAGATGGGGTTTTGGGTTTTAGAACCCTAAGTTAATCCTAGTTCTTTTTTATATTTAGAATCTCATTTCTACCTCCCCAAAGTTCATTAGATGAGTTAATAACTTATTCCATTGATTGTTTTAGAGAATGAAGTGGGTGAAAGCTCCAAAAGCAAGGGAGAACATAAAGTGGTGCTTGAGTAAGCATTGAGTTGATTTTTCAGCTTATAGGTGTAAGATAACACACTTATAACTTCTATTTACTTCTTGTAAATCAACATGAGTAGTTTTGATGCTTGTATGAGTATATGAGTCATTTGGGTACATTTGGGGGTTTAAAGCTTAGAAACAGAAGTTTGTTGTTATTCATGCATAAAGTAACGATATTTCATAATCCTTAAACTTTAAATAAGCTTTAAATATCATTTAGGGTTCTTAGGGACATTTTAAGAGTATTTTGTGAGGTTTTAGACGAGAGAAACAAATTTTTCTAGGTTGAGGGTATCAATATTGTATGAACAGTACCAATACTGCTAGTCGTAAATGGGCAAAATTCAAAGTGTTTGTGAGGAAAATATTGATACCCCATTCAATGAATATCAATACTACTCATTTGGTATCAATACTTAAGAGCCTAGTAACGATACTCGGGTACTTGATCAGACTCTAGTAGCCAATTTTGGTATCGATATCGATGGTAGAGTATCAATACTCCCAATAAGGGTATTGATACCAGAGTATTTTTCAAAATATCAAAAGTAATTTTGGTACCGGTATTCATGGGAGTATCGATACTGAGGGTAGAATATCAATACTCTTGATAGGGATATCGATACTAGGGGATTTTCCAAAACATGGAATGCAATTTTGGTACCAATACTTGGGAAGTATCGATACCCTAGGAAGGGGAGTACCGATACCCAAGGAGTAGTATCGGTACCATCGTGAATATTGAGGCGGTAAGCCTAGCTTGTAGTAGAAGGAAGAAGGTGGGGGTTTTATTGAAAAAGGAACTCTCCAATAAGAATACAGGAGAAAACCTTAATATTTCTGTGATAACATAAGATCTTAATGAGGTAAGATTCCATAGGACTTATGCCTTTTTGTTGTTCGGGAAACAATTAGGACATCCGAGTCACTTTGTATGACGTTTGTGTAATAGAATGAAGATTATATGGAGATATCCAAACTAGTGCTTGGGCACTTAAAATGTTAGTTGGATGATAGTGACCCAGACACATCCAGAGTACTTGAGAAGAGTGTACTAGCTTGGTAAAATTCCGACTCTATGTGACCCAGACCTAACCCAGGTATCATAAGATGTTGATGCTATATGACCTAGATCTTACTTGAAATATGCTAAGTAAGCAAATAGGGGTATGAGTACTGTGATTCTATGGTGACCCTGAGCTACACCATAATTTTTACTTTCGTTGTATAATTAATGTACGCATGATTCATAACTGTGCACGTAGCCAGGGACGGAGCTCCCTTAGGACCCAAGGGCCCCCTGATCCCTGTTAAAATTTATATATTCAATATAATTTTAGTTTAATAGTATTTTGGTTTATGTACAAATAAATATTTAAATTTAAAAATATAAAAATTTATTAAATATTTAATCAAGTAGGGGTCGAACTAAATAATGATAAGTCTGTGTTCTCAAATTTTTGGTCTAATTACAATTTAAGTCATTGTAAGTTTAAATATTAGACAAATTAAAAGTTGTCTTTTGAGTTTTGAGTTTTTTTTTTAATTTAGGGTGAATACAAGGTAATATATGTACAAAGACTTTCAACTATTTGACAATGAACACTCATACCCCTACATACGTGCTTGAACTCGGGACCTCAATGATAACAATAATCCCTTAATCACTAAGGTCTCTTGGTTCATACTGAATTTCGTATAGTTTAATATTTTGGCCCCTGTCAATATTTAATTATGTCTCCGTCTTTGTACGTAGCATGTTGATATGTTGAATGCATGTTGTATAGTTAGGTTATTCACATGACACTAAGCTGAGTTCGAGTCGGGTAAGGCGGATCGTATTTTTAAGGGGCGAGATCGGGTCGGTTTAGGTATGGGTAGAGGATGAAAAAACTTTGACCCGACCCTAACTAAGGAGAATAATATAACTTTCTTAAAAAATATTATTATTTAATTAAATCCTTATTTTTTTAGTCATGTCAGATTAAATTTATACTCTAAAAATTTAGATCAGATCAAAATCAAGTGAATGATACATATTTTTAGATTTGATCATAACAGATTTAGATAACTAATACATATTTTCAGATCAAATCAGATTTATTAAAAATTCGACCCGTTATCATCCATATCAGTAGGTATCAAAATATGATGCGGGGAATGTGGGGACCTTTATCCGTGATTATCGGCGAGTTTTGTGTTTTATATTTGTTGTCGTTTCATACGATAAATAACATGTACAAGATTCTTCACTTGCTTTGCTCCCGGTCCTACCATAGCTGTTTCGCGCAAATGATGCAATCAATTAAACTTTTTTTTTTTTTTTCACATTTTAAAAAATATTTTTAACTTCCATAGTTTCGTTTCTGTTTTTTATTAATTTTTCTGATAGTCTCAGATAATTGTATCAGCAAAGATGAAGAAAAATATATTAAAAAAAAGGATAAACTAAAAAATTATCCTTAATTTACTTTGAGTTTACATAAAGTCTATAATTAATATTTTATATGAAATGAAGGAATTAGAATAATTATTAAACTATTTTATTAATATGCCACAT